TGGGCAAAAGATATAACAGACCCTTCCCAGAAAAAAGAAATGCAAATAGTCCTTAAACATATGAAAAGATCCTCCACTTCACTCACAGAAGTAATATAAATTAAAACTACTCCAAGATGCAATTTCTATTTGATTAGGAAGTAACATATACATAAAGTTATTTATAATGGCATTATTTGAAATAGCAAAAGATTGGAAACAACCCAAATTCCCATAAATAGGGGATCTGTTGAATAAATTATGATATATTCACACAAATGAGAACTATGCTGCTATAAAAAAAGAGCACAGAAAAATTTCTTCTTACTGATGGGAAATGATCTCCAGGATACAATGTTGAGTGAATAAAGAAAGGGAAGAGTGTATATTTTATGCCACCTTTTGTGGAAGCAAAAAGGAAAAATCAATTTAAAAATGTGTTTTTGCTAATTTTGATAAAAGGAAACAACTGGAAGGCTAAATCAGAAACTAATAAAAATAGTTACCCATAGAAGGAGGGAAACAGGATTGGAGGAGATACGGATGGAAGTGAGACTTCTCTGAGTACACCTTTTCAAATAGTTTTAACTTTTGAATCATGTAAATGTTTTACATATTCAAAAAATAAAATTTAATCATAAAGAGGAAAAAAGCAACTCTGAAAATTAAAAACAAACTGAACCAAATAAACCTATGTCTTTATCAAACTAGATAACAAAAGCACATGGCAAAAATAATCATCTCCAGTAAGTTTTGAACACGGTACTCTGCATACTCTTAGTAGGATATATTCTAAGGACAAAACACCTGCAGAGAAATCTTAAATCTTACTCAGTAGTTTTACCATTTACAGTAATATTGGTTTTGTAATTTTGAAACTATGTTATGCTTAGAAATTAAATAAGATTAGTATTAATACAAAAAAAAGATATTCAGTGTAAGAGAAAATACTATAAGAAAAACCCTGTAATTTAAAATTTGAATCAGTAACAATATGAACTCAAATATTATTTAAAAAATATAATGCCTAGCCTTGTCCATTGACATCTTATCTTGGAACACAGTGTTCTACCAGATGGTTTCTAAATACAACCCCCCACTAAAATGAACAAGGGAGAGATGACTGATTCAAGAGGGGTCAGAGAATTTACAGGGTGAGCCTGGGACATCTTATAACAGAAAGCACTCAAAAACTAGTTGGGGTGGGGAAGTGTCAAAAAGGTTGCAGGAGTCAACTTAAAGGGGCTCCCACTGGCTAAATTTGGGACAACTTGAGCAGCAGAAAGCATTATGAATGTAATTCACTGTAAAACACAATAAATGAGAATCCACGAGTCAAATGATAATTAAAAAACTCATTTGCCACCATAATTGAAGGCGATTTTGGCACCAACTCCTTACTCTAAAAATTGGTAATTAGAGAAAGTGTTAATTAAGCATTTATCCTGCAATTTTAGGACGAACTAAAATTCATCCCCAATTAATGAGGAAAAGTTCTTTTTACAGAACAATGCCAACTATTAAATGTAGAAGGAATTGGAAAATCACCATTTTGCAATCTCTAATGAAATAATTCATTCAAGGAAGGAGCATCAATCCATGCTAAAATTGTTATGTGGAAGGCTGTTAGGGAACAAGATATTTGCATGGTGCCAAAGTACCCCCACAGATTACCTGCCAATTGCAAAGGGAGAAATATATCTTTACACTGGAAAGATCTGGTGATCACTACGTCAACTAAGTGATCAAACCTAGCTTCACTACCCTTGATGCAACCTGGTATTATGGCTTACTGATGTGACATCCTGAGACTGGAGGAGACAGAGAAGAGACTTCTCTGAGTATATCCTTTTAAATAGTTTTAACTTGTGAATCATGTAAATGTTTTACATACTCAAGAAATAAAATTAAATCATAAATAAAAATAAAAAGCAATCCTTAAAATTAAAAACAAACTAAAACAAATATTATTAAAACTAAATTATCATCTATGAAATACTCTTTCCAAAAACTTGAAGCCTGAATCCAATCAAGCCTTTATAGAACTTACAAATTACAGGAAATATAAGGGCTAGGAAAACAAGTTAAACAACACTGAAGGAAACAGACAACTGGCCTGGTCTCTTCAAAAAGTCAGTGATATGGAGGGAAAAGAAAATAGTGGAGGAATTACTCTAGTTTAAAGAGACTAATGAGACATAACAATTAATTACAATTAGATCTTAGTTTGAAAAAAATACAGCTATAAAATATGTTTTTTAGACAATTAAGAAAATTTAAATATGGACTGGATATTAGATGGAATTAGGGAACTGTTCATTTTTCTTAAGAGATGCATGCTGAAGTATTTAGGGATGAAAGATCATGATGCATACTTCCAAATGGCTAAGCAGAAATTTAAAAATATATACTAAATAAACCACATATATATAAAGAAAATATGACCAAACATTAATAATTGTTGACTCTGGGTTAAACAGGTATTCGATGTCTTTTAACTTATCTGTATGCTTGGTATTTTTCAATATAAAAAGTAGGAAAAAAATTTCCAATCTTTCATATGGCTACATGTTAAGAGGGAGAGGAAGACCTTACCAACCATTCCTTGGAAAAGGACATACAAGTGGGCACTCAACCGTTAGTCAAAATTAAGGGAAATGTGCAAGTGAAGAAGTCAGAGTGCTCAGATGCTATCATGACAAAGAGGACCTTAGGAAAGAGGTAAGAGCCTGCAGCCTTCACTCACCATGTGTCACCCCCTCAGTTGGCTGCTGCCTTCCATTGTTCAAACTTTCAGGCAAATTTTTCAAAACTGAAATAAGCTAAAAAAGGAGAACCCAATATATTCAAGACAAAAAGAACAAAAGCAGAAATGCATTACAATTCAGTACCATGAAATTATCTATAGCTTTAAAAGAGCTGTGTGACAGGTTAGGCAGTAAACTGGCTTAAGCTGTAGGATACGTGTCTACTGGGTGGAGTTTCACTAGAGATGCTGCTCTCTGCAGAGTACAGGTCACTGATTGGCTTCCAGAGAACACTGAGCCTTGCCCGGCTGTGCAAACTTTCGGTATCAGGATAGCGTATGCTCAGATATCCACAGTCTCACTCTGCAGGAGGGAAGGCAGTGGAGTCTCACATGAGAATGTACTCTGGAGTCACAACACAGTTCTGGGTTCAAATCCTAGTTCCACCAATTAGCTGTGTCATCGTGGAAAAGTTATTTTACTTGTCTGTGGCCTTCAATGTCATCATCTGTAAAACAGTTGACAGCAACAGCTACCTCAAAGGTTTGCTGGGAAGGTAAAAAAATAAGTCAATAGAATATCTAGAATAGTCCTGGCACACAAGCCAGTACTTAATAAACGAGAGCCACTATTATAATAGCATTTCTGAGGTGAGTTGGTGGAAAAGATTTCCTCTACAGAAAATTAACTAGTTCAAATGAAAATCATTAATTTGGTCATTAAGCATTTACTCAGACCTTATGTATGCAGATTCAATAAGCTACATAAAGCCACAGAGTTCATTTATAGTTAGGGGGTCAGCAGAATCCCAGTGCATATGGATACAAATGACTGCAACACAGGCAGAGAAGTGGCAGGAAAGCTAAGAGTCACTTAGGAAATGCTGTAGGTTCATTCTGACAGGGACGAAAGGGCTATCTATGAGACTGAGGAGAGTGAAACTGGGAAGAAAGAAGGCCTCATTGTGAAATGTAGTAGGCCATATAAGGTCATGTGTTTCGTTTGAAAGCCTTTAGGTAACCACTCTGTGTAAATTCTCAAAGATTCACATGAGATCACAAATGTCAAGCTAATTTTTAGGAAGCCAGGGATAGAAATCACTTAAAAAGGAAGCTTAAAATTACACATCATAAAATTGTCCTTTTCATCATAACCACTTAGGAAACCTACTAAATGAATAAAAAACAGTAGAACATTGGAGAACTGTACCATGTTGGCACCCAGTCTTGACAGCACTGCTTCCAATTCCTTTGCGGTGCTCTTGGGTGGCACAGGAACTGTTTCCTGTTTGAGAATTGGACCTACATCAAACCTACCAAAAAAAAACACCAAATAATAACATGATTGCTGATGGTTTCTTACGATCAAAATGTTTGTCTACACGAGTGTTTACATACCACAAGGATAGTTTAACCGTGGCCAGGAATTTGACTGCTGGCCACTAGCAAGGGAACTGTCAGCTGGAAGGAAGGAAGAGTAAAATCTGGCCTATACTTAAGATTTTAAACTTATGTTTTCCTAAAGGAAAAAAGTATAAAGTTGCATATCAGGGATTTAATTGCAATTATAGATAATTCTATCATAAATAGTATGGGAAAAAACTCTATTTGTATAATGAAAGCATAGAGCAAAGAATTTATTTTCCAAGGAAGTACAGTTAGGAAATCCCTAATTATTTTTTTCCATATTTCCTTTCTCAAAGCACAAGAGTTTTGCCTGGATTATAATTATAAGTAGATTATAAGTAGATACAAGTATATTTGCAAGATCTTACATTTTACATCAAGCTCTGTAAATACTGGCCACCCCCTTTTATTAGAAATATGCTTTATTTTGAATTTTTAACTTTGTGCTTCTGTTAATTCTATTTTTAACCTATGAGTTTTAAGAAAATATTGATTATGAAAAATTATAAACTTTCACAAAAACAGAGTGAATAGTCTAATGAATCTCCATATATACATTACACAGATTTTAAAATAATCAAAGTTTTGCCACTCTTGTTTTATTTACCCCTCCCTCTTTTTTTCTGAAGTAAATTAAAGCAAATCTCAGATATTGAGTTGTTCTTGTGAACTTGTGAATTATTCTTTTCTATGGGGACATTAGGTGATAACAGGCAGAGGCTTAATATACTCCTGAAGCAATTTTAAATAATTGTTTCTTAGATTGTAAGTATAATAAAAGAAATTAAATGTTGAAGACAATTATATTACACATTGGTATACAATATACTCTTACTTCAGATTCCAAAAATTATTTGACCATAGTTTGACCACAGAAACCAAGGCCAGCAGAATTGAGATTCATAACTAATATACAAAAATCTGTCTCTCTTTGACACAATGTCTTTTACAGAAATCCAGTTGTTAAAATAATTTATTTCAATTAACAAGTTAAAAATTTAATGAGGGCTTTAAAGAGATAAATACCAAAATACATATGGCTTATGTTAGAAACCGGGAAAAAACAGAAAGGGTACAAAAGCAAAGGGAGGACTCTGGAACTGGAGAAATTAGTGAGCACCATCCATTCATCCACTTCCCCCAAAACAGACTGATACCAACATTCAAAATCACAAGAAGTCTCAAGGAAAGAATTATGCTCTACCTTTTAGGTCTGATTTGCATAATCGTTACTCCAGTAACTGTGTCTCCGTGAAGCACAGTATGGATTATAGGGGCTGGACCACGCCACCTCGGGAGGCAACTGGGATGGACATTCAATATGCCACTGAGTTAGAAAAGGCAGAAATTAGTACATGACTGGGCTTTACCGTTTAGTTACTGCTGCCTAAACTAATATGCTACTTTTCATCATTCAACTTTCCCAGAAATTTTGAAAACCTAACAGTTAAATCTACTCTTGTACCACCTGAAAAGGGAGCCAGAGCTAAGTTCACTCTCTCACCGTGAGAGACCAATGAAACTCAATTAAAAACAGAGCAAGAGGGGGCCAGCCCCAGGCGTAGTGGTTAAGTTCGCTGCACTCCAATTCAGCAGCCCAGGCTTTGCCGGTTCAGATGCTGGGCGTGGACCTACACCACTCGTCAGCCATGCTGTGGTGGCGACCCACTTAGAAAATAGAGGAAGACTGGCACAGATGTTAGCTCAGGGTGAATCTTCCTCAGCCAAAAAAAAAAAAACCAAAAAAACAGAGCAAGAACAACTATTCATTGTTCCAAAGATGTTCCACAACAGCTCATGATGTCTGGGAATTTTTAAATAAAAACAAAAAATGCATTTTTTACTATATGAGAAAAACCACTCAAACTCTATCATGCATCTCATGGATGATATGAATTATATTTATAGTTTAGTTACATAATTATCCTCACTTCACTTAGTTTGCATATAGAATGCCTAAAACAAGCTTCTTGAATCCCCATCAAATGATCTATTCACCTTTGCTGTTTATCCCAATACACCTTTGCTGTTTATCCCAATACACCTATCACCCATTAATGAGCAATTTAAATAATTTACTAATCTGTCATTAGTTTAATGATGTCTCCATCAGCATGAGTCTGCACTTGAGAGTGTGTGTATATTAGAGAGTCTTATATTCTAAGTTTCACTGTTCAGCCCAGGCTCATTCATCCAACAAATATTTACTGAGCACAATCCATGTGCTAGCACTGTTCCAAGTGCTAGGGATACAAGCAACAGTGAACCAAACAGAAAACAAATTCTGCCCTCAGGGAGCTTATGTCCAAAGAGTGGGGGATAAACAATAAAAAAGAAGATATGTAAAAAGTTTGTCAGATGGTGCTAACAGCTGTGGAGAAAAATAAAGCAGAGAAGGGGATGGGAGATTACAATTTTAATCGTGGTCAAAGAAGGTTTTACCAATAAGAAGACACTTAGGCAAGACATGAGGAGGTAAAGGAGTAAGCCATGTAGATATATGAGAGAAATCTTTCCAGGCAAAGGCAACAGTAAGTACAAAGATCATTTTTTTTTTTTTTTTTTGCTGAGGAAGATTAGCCCTGTGCTAACATCTGTTGCCAATCTTCCTTGTTTTTTGCTTGAGGAAGATAAGCCCTGAGCGAACACTGTGCCAATCTTCCTCTACTTTATGTGGGTCGCCGCCGCAGTGTGGCTGACAAGTGACGTAGGTCTGCGCCTGGGATCTGAACCCACTAACCCAGGCCGCCAAAGCAGAACACGCCAAACTTAACCAGTATGGCACAGAGCTGGGCCAGACATAGATCTTGAGGAAGGTAAATGCTTGGTGAGTTCAGGGCACAGCAGGGAGGCCAGTGTGGCTGGAGTGGAGTGAACCTGAGGAACAGTACTAGGAGGCGAGGCCAGAAGGCCAGCAGGGGACCAAACCAAGTAGGTAGGTCCTCATAGGCCAATATAAGGATTTTGACTTTTATTCTGAGTGAGATGGAAAACCACCAGAGAATTTTGAGCAGAGTGACATGATCCCACTTATGCTTTAAAAGGATCACTTTGGCTGCTGGGTTGCTAAAAGGCTGAGAGGGCCAAGGACAGAAGTAGAGATAGCAGTGGAAGTAGTGGCAGTGGAAGTGATGAGAGACAGTCAGATTCTAGACAGATTTCGAAGGCAGAGCCAATAGGATTTCCTGATGGACAGGATTCGTGGTGTGAGATACAGAATCAAGAATGACTTCCAGGTTTTGGGTCCGAGCAACTAGAAGGCTGGAATTGCCATTTACTAGATGACGACTTGGGGAGGAGCAGATTTTGGGCGAAAGTTCAGGAAGGTAGTTTTGGACATCTTAAATGTAAGGTGCCTATGAGACATCCAAGTAGAGCTGTGGAGGAGGCAGTGGGTATCAGGGGCCTGGAGTTCAGGGTGAGATCTGAACTGGAGGGACAAATTTGGGAGCTGTGGGCACACACAGTATATGGAATTTAAATGAGGTGGGTGAAAGCCCACAGATAGTGATGAAGAACATCACACATTTTAACAATTCATGCCACTAATATAATTTTTTATTTTAAGAGAAAATATTAAAGAAAGCAGAATTAGAGTTCAAGTTATTGCACTTTAGATACCAGGTCTATATATAAAGACCAAGGCCTCTATACCATATATCCTTATAAATAAAACTTACTAGGGAAACTTAAGAATAAGAGCCTCACTCAAAAGTCGGCCAAATGAAGCTACCACTCCAACATCATATTCTCCAGATCCCACATCCGGCCACTCATACACTGGAAGCTGAGACTGGACAGCGTATTGCTTCACTGGCAGTCCTTTGGGTGACGGGGAGGGCACTGTGACCACCTCCAATTTTTCTATTAACTCTTCCTCTTTGTTTTCCCTAAGTTGGCAAGATTGAAAGAAAATATGACAATGTTACAACGACTCAAAGCTAAACTACTTCACATACCTCTACAATATTTTTATGATTAAATTCATGATAAATGATAAATGAGTAAAACTAGTGCAAGTGAAAGACTGAGTTTTTATTTTTTATTTAATCACTTTAAATTTGAAGAGCCACATGTGGCTAGTGGCCACTCTTTGGCTAGCATGGTTCTAGAAATTTCCTGTGCATAGAGAAACATATACAGTACAGACATTTTACACAATTGGGATATAATATATACTGCTCTGCATTTTGTTTTTTTCCTCTTAACAACACTTCAATCATGCATGGCTTAACGATAGGGATACGTTGTGAAAAATGCGTTGCTAGGCGATTTCCTTGTGTGAACATCATAGAGTATACTTACACAAACCTAGATGGTACAGCCTACTACACATCTAGGCTATATGGTACTAATCTTATGGGACCACCATCATATATGTGGTCTATTGTTGACGGAAATGTTGTTATGTGGTGTGTGACTGTATATAAGCTATTATGTGAGTCTTTTAAAACAATGGGTTAAATATACATTTGCTTGTATATTCATCAAACATTTCTAGAATAAGAAACTGAAAACAGTGGCTGTCTTTGAAGACAGGAACTGGGAACTAGGAGGCAGGGGAGGAAGAACCTAACTTTTCACTCTATATCCTTTGAATCTTTTGAATTTTGTGCCATAACCATGTGTTATTCAAACAATAAATATTAAAAAACATAAAACAAAAATATACACCATGGGCATCATTCCATGGCAGTTCATGTAGCACTACCTCATTTTTTTTATCTGCTGCATAGTATTCCAGTGCCCATGGGCTGTTCATTTATTTATTTAGCAGGTATTGCATCACATGTTGAGGAGATATGAGAAAAGGAATATATAGGAGGGCTCTAAAGAGAAAGTGCAGGAGTAATGGAGCTGCGGGGTGAAGCATGTGCAGAAGGGTCAGGATATAGGCAGTGAGAGACGTAGGAGGCAATCTGGGGAAGGCAGCATGTGGAGAGTGAATTACGGGGGCTGTGCAAAGCGGACATGTGTGAAGGGAGTGTTCCAGGGTGTGTGTACAGAGGGGAGTGTGTGGACAGTGGATTACAAGACAAGGGGATGGATGAGGGAGTCAATATGAGGGGCTGCTGTGAAGTATTTGTAGGGAAGACTTGATGGAGTGAGATGACAGAAATGAGTGTGGGGGGGGTGTCAGGAAAAAACGGGCAAATAAAAAATAGAGGTTGGGGAAAGGAGGCAGAGCAGTATGTATGGGGATAGCCACCACATACGTGGACTTGCAGGACAGGTTGGATCTCAATTTGTTTCCAGTCAACAAGATTTGTTAAATGTTAGAGATACTAAATGTATACCTAAGAGTTCTGATTTATAAGTCTATTTATTTGAAAACTGTTCATTTTTGGACTATGTCCTCATTTCAGTCCCTGAAAACTGGGGAGATGGGGAGCAAAGAAGTGAGAGACATGGGTGTGCAGAGGGATATATGGGCCTCCTAAGAAGCAGGCCAAAGGACTGGAGGGTACAAGTTAGGCGAACAGGAGGCAGTAGGAGGAAGTGGAAACGGGAGGACTTGGAAGTCTGACCCCGTTTTAGCCCCAATCTGCTCAGCTGATGACCTTGAGCAATCGCTTAACGTCTGAGCTCCGGTTTCCATACACGCAAAATGTGCAGGGAGGTGGTGGGACTGGACGGAGGTGATGTACGCAAAGCGGCCCGCACGGGCTGGGCTCCGCGGGGCGCCCGGTAGCGCTTGGAGACCGGATAGACAGGGCTCGGAGTGGGGGTGAGGACCGGGCGGGACCCGGCGGGCGCCCTAGGGCTCACCGGCCGGGTGCGGCGCCCCTTCCGGGCGCGCGGAGACGCCGCAATCTGGGCCCACACCCCTCCAGCGCCGCCGCTTTCCCCGACGAGGAGTCCAAACCCTCGGCGTCGGCCGCAGAGGCTCGACACCGGCGTCCTCAGCAGCCGGGCCCCCCAAGCCCCGGCCCCGGTACCTGGCGGCGTGCAGCGCCCGCAGCGCCTCGCGGGCGAACCGGTCTGTGCCGAAGAAGAGCACCCGCCAGGGCGGCTTCTCGCGGACTCGGGCGCCCCGGCCGTCCTCCCCGCTAGGGCACCAGCCGAGCCCGGCCACCGCTCGCCAATGAGGGCCCAGCCTCCGGCCCGCGCCCCCACTCGCTGGCAGGTGCCCGCAGCAACGCCGCACCAACACCCTCATGGCCTCGGCCCGTGGCCTACCCTGCGCAGGCGCGCAGGGGTGGGGGCCAGTGCGCAGGGCCGGAGGGGCGGGGCCGGGGAGGAGGCCCGAGAGGCGGGGTCTGCCAGCGACGGGGGCGGGGCCTGCCTGATTGGAGGCGTGGCCCATCTGTGTCGGAGCCGGTGAAGGAAATTTGAGGGTTCGGGTGTCCCGGTGATTTTTGTTGCATTATTTGCACGATTTAGCCAATCTCCCAAAAGAACTCTTTTGGGAACAAATCATGTGTTTTCAGACAATAAAATCTCATTTATCTACGTAATTCTGTGTCATTTTCTCTGCCATTATGGTAACTAATGTTTACTATGTATTTACTATATATATGCCATGCTTTGGCTAAGCATTTTATGTTAATTAGTTCAGTTAATCCTTATATCAACCATACAAGGTAGACATTATTGCAACCGTTTTACTGAAGAGAATCTGAGGCTCAGTGAAGTTAAGGGCCTCACAGCTGGTCCATGTAGCTCCAAAGCCTGTGGTCCTAACCCTTTGGCCTTCACAGCAACCCTATGCATTAGGCAAGCCAATGTCCCCATTTTGAACCTGGGGAAACTGAGGCTCAGTTACTTGCTGTAGTCTCTGTGGTGAATCTGTGGGTTCCCTCCCACACAGAGGGATACCATACAGGAGATTCTTGGGGAAAATGGGCAGGGGAAGCTGTTCCCAGAAAATGTCTAAGGACCTTTAGTGCTTAGATTCTGTGTTCCCGAGGCCCATGCAGTGGCCTTCTCCTTGAGTGTGGTCCCACATCCTGGCTATAGAGTCGAGACCAGATTCCTTTCTAGTCTTACCCTCACCACCTTTCCCCATCACACAGTGTTAGACCTAGCAACCCTGGACCAGTTCTTTTTTTTTTTTTAATAATTTTTTATTTATTTATTTATTTATTTTTTCCCCAAAGCCCCAGTAGATAGTTGTATGTCATAGCTGCACATCCTTCTAGTGCTGTATGTGGGACGCGGCCTCAGCATGGCCAGACAAGCGGTACATCGGTGCGCGCCGGGGATCCGAACCCGGGCCGCCAGCAGCGGAGCACACGCACTCAACCGCTAAGCCACGGGGCCGGCCCCCCCTGGACCATTTCTTTTTCCTAAATTATGAGCTCTGCACATCCCTGCTTCTGTGCCTTTGCTCATAATGTCCTTCCTGGACTCCCCTTCCCACCTCTCCTCCTCTCTAAATGCTATCCATTCTTCAACGCCAAGTTCAGACATCCTCCCTGAAGCCTTGAGCTCTTGCCTGCACCGATTTAATGTCTTTCTCCATGTGCCCCCTTAATGCTCTGTAGGGACCTCTGCTCACACAGTTTGGAATTGTTGAGGGAAGTTGTGTAATGTTTGCATAGACATTGACAAATGCACCTGTGTGTTGAATAGAAGAGAGGGAGGCAAAGAGGAAGGGAGAGGCTGTACTTCCAGTGATTCTGCTCATCTGATCATATATGAGGAGGGGAGTGAGAGGGGACCCCAAACCTTCTGTTCCTTCAGTCAAGTTCTCTCCCAGTATCCTCTCTTAGGGTAAGTGGAATACGATTCTAATATTTAAAAATTGTCTTTTTCCACTCAGCGTGACCCATAAATACAACCCAAATAGTCATTTGGGTTTTCACCTTAGATTCTGGCTGCTGTCTAAAGTGTGACTCTATATTTGTGTTTATGTCATTTCTCTTCTTGAGTTAGGGAGCCTGCATTATGCCACATTTAATTTTCAGCAGCCCAGGTTCTCCACAGGTAGTCCTGCCCCCTAGAGCTGCGTTTCCTGCTCACAGCGCCTTCTGCCAACCACACAGCGACTGCTCAGTCTGAGGGGCTGACGCCAATCTGTTTTCTTTCCTCCACAGAGCTGCCTGCTACCATTGACCACTGACCATTAAAATGCCATCTCATTTTCTAGGGGATGGTCTTTTGATTTGCAGTAAACTTCTTTTAAAAAATCTGAACATGATATTGTAACAACTGAAGTTTTCCCAGGATGCTAAAATGGAAATCTTTCTGCAACTCTTGGGAGTAAATTAGGGACACATGGGAGGTGGGGGGACGGGTCCTTTTCCAAGCCCAAACAAATCCATGGCTGGAGCTACTGTAAAGCACACAGAGAAGATGAGGAAGCCAGCCCCTAATGGCAAGGAGTTTTAGGTAATAAATTAAGACATCCAGAAAGCACATCTAAGAGTATTGGGCTGTAACAGTACCCAGATAATGCTAATTGGGCAGGTATTCCAGTTTCCAGAAACATCTCTCCTCTGATGAATGGAGTATGTGTGCATGTTGAATCAATGAAATTACTCCAGGTTCTGAGTCTGAATGACAAGACAAGAGCAATGTCATTGACAGAGAGGAAGAACTGCTTGGTGGTAACCATGATGACGTTTCAGCTTTAAATGTTTGAAACGGAAGTGATGAGACAAGCAAGTGGAGATGTTTGGTAGAACACTGGCATGTGGGATTGGCCTTCATGACGGGGGGCGGAGGGAGGGGGTGAGAGAGCTGATCCGGGAGTGGGAGGAAGCAGGAAACATCGCCTCCTCTCCCTGCTCCCTAACCCTCACTGCGTGTATATGATTTCTGAGGAATGGGGAGACCTGCCACAGGTTAAATTCGTGTGTGTGTGTGTGTGTGTGTGTGTGTGTGTGTGTGTGTGTAATTACTTCTTTGGCGTTGAGAGTCAAAAAGGAGGAGCAGCCAGAGCCCTGGAAAGATGGAGTAGGAGCACGAGGAGGAAAATGGACAGAGCTCTGGTTGGTAAGGTGGCTGATGCCTGAGTCCACAAGAATTCTTGAATGTGGCCTGGGAGGCAATGCCACATGTGACCAGGGGAGCGTCTGCCAGATACAGGCATTGAGCCAATGCCAGGGGCAGGAACTGAACCGAGGGACGCAGCCCAGGGAAGCCTTTTGCGATGCAGCCCCTTAGTGAGAAGTTCCCTGTATACATAGTCATCTCCTGCCTGTGGTTGCATCAGAAGTCCGCGAGAGGGCGCTGCTCACCAACCTTTCCCGACACGAGCCTGGCGGACAATTCACAAGCTCCAGCGCTTCTCACTCCCATTCGGCTGTGTTAGCCCTTTGTGGTCTCAGCAGGAGATGTCACTCCCTAATCTGTCCAGCCGCTCTGTAAAGCAGGGCTGGGGCTGCAAGGCCACCCGCTGAGGACAGACCGGGACACGCTGGCTACCCTCCCGTACCCCTCACAGCTCTTACAGATGATACACAAATACTAAGGAGGTGGTTCTATGCAACAGACTCTCCCTCAGCAGGAGCCTGGGATGTCTTTCCATCCCAGGTGAGAGCTTAAGAGGCAGCGTGGGCCTACAGGACTGGGTGTCCTTGAGGAGAGAGACAGGGGTGGTCACATGATACCTGAGGGATGTCAGAGTCCCAGGAAGGGAAGCCAAATGTGGTACTACAGGAAGGAGAAGCAGCCTAGGGATAAGGCTGCCGATAGTCAACCTAGTAAACCAAGGGAAATATCAACATAGACTTAAAGAGATCAAATCTTTAAATCTTCGGTTTGTTCTCCACCCCTTCCCCCAGGCAAAAGAGCTGTATAATATTAACAAAGGGAAGGAGTATTTCTTTCTTTCTTTCTTTCTTTCTTTTTTTTTTTTTTGGTGAGGAAGATTGGCCCTGAGCTAACACCTGTTGCCAATCTTCCTCTTTTTGCTTGATGAAGAGTGGCCCTGAGCTAACATCTGTGCCCACCTTCCTCTATTTTATATGTGGGACCCCGCCACAACATGGCTTGATGAGTGGTGTAGGTCGGCACCTGGGATCCGAAACGGTGAACCTTGGCCACTGAAGTGGAGTGCGTGAACTTAACCACCACGCCACCCAGCCTGCCCTGAGTGTTTCATTTTATAAGTACCTTTGCCTGTCTCAAGGAAATTGACAAGATAGTAAAGCCTCTTGCGTTTAACGGATCTCATAATTTGACTGGTCTAGAAACTGGTAAGTATTTACATAAATGTAGAATAAGGATCTCAAGAAAACAAAAGGAGGAAAAAGGAAACAAATGTTCAAAAGAGAACAATGGAATAGAAGGTGTCTGGTTACTAAGACAATACCGGGAATGAAAGATATCCAAATAGATATTGGGCCAGCCCTAAGAAATCTTTCTGTATAAGATTTTTTAACCAAGATACTAAAAGTTGTATTAATACTCGATAAACAAATAGAAGAGAATTATATAAAATTACAATTTCACTTAATACTCTTGATCATGGTAAATACTTGGACAAGTTAAATATGTTTGTGTTAAATATAGTTTAAAACAAAGCTATTGCATATATCTGAAAAAGGGCTTGTATCCAGAATATGTAAAGAATTCCCACAGATCAATTTAAAAAGGCAGATAACCCAATGGGAAAAAGAATTGGACACTCTATGAAAGAGGATATCCAAAAAGCCAATAAGCATATTAGTCATCAAGGAAATGCAGATTAAAACCACAGTGAGATATAGACATGTGCCTATCAGAATGCTAAAGACAGATAATACCAAATGTTGATATTGATGTAGAACAACCGGAATTCTCATACACTATTGGGAGTGGGAGAGTCACTCTGGAAAATCATTTGGCCATATCTACTAAGGCTGAACATATGCCAACCTGTGACCTAGCAATTCCGCTCCTAGTGCACACATGTTCACCAAAAGACAAGTTCACAAAGGTTCATAGCAGTACTCTTCATAATAGCCCCAAACTGGAAACAACCCCAAAGCCATCAGCATTAGAATGGATAAAAATAATTTATGGACTAGTCACAAAATGAAATACTGTACAGCAATGAGAATGAACCAACTATACCTACATGCAGATATCGCAAACATAACGTTGAGTGAAAGAAGCCAGACACAAAAGAGTACATTCTGTGTGGTTCCACTTACATAAAGTTCAAAACACACAAAACTACTTCATGGTGTTGGAATCAAGATAGTTGTTACCTTTGGAGGGGGTTTGGTGGTGTG